AGAACAAAACGTCATTTTCTGGAAAGAAAAAAATAGTTTACCTTAGAATAATTTGTTTTTTATACACATAAAATATAATTTTTACTTTTAACATGCAATTTTGAATGAATGGTCAAAAAACGAATCTGTGAAATTCTTAAATACAAGAAATACAGAAGTAATTCACATGCAAGTTGATGATTGTGGATGGTTTTGCGGAAAAGGTTAAAGATTAGTAATGAATATTGAAAGAATAAATTCTTAGCCCCATATTCTTCAAAGAATCCACAGAGACATCTGGGATACCCGACAATATTCTTCAAGATTTTCCCTTTTTGTGGCTGATTTATACTATGCCAGTAGCCAGTCAAAGGCTGTGAATCTCTCGTAGAATTTTTAATATTTTAAAATTAATAATAAAATCGTCAAATTTGGAGATGAAAATGTGTACGTTCAAGTCGAGCTTTTGATGCAAAATTAATTTTTGGTGATTTATTTTTTGGCTCGTAATCGCCTTTCAATAATTAGTTATACTATACGTCTACATGGATTATATATATAACCCATGTAGACGTATATTATAACTAATTATTGCAAAGGAAGTCCCCCTCCTACAATTAAACTTAATGGCAACGTTCAAATGCACGTTGCTAAAACTATTAATGACAACGTGCAATGAACGTTGCAAAAAAGTTAATGGCAACTTTCAAATGCAGGTTGTTAAAACTATTAATGACAACGTGCAATGAATGTTGCAAAAAGATTAATGGCAACGTTCAAATACGTATTGCTAAAACATCTAATGGCAACATACAATAAACGAACTATTAATTGCAACGTGCATTTGAATGTTGCAAAAAGGTTAATGGTAACGTTCAAATGCACATTGCTAAAACATCTAATGGCAACGTGCATTGCACGTTGCTAAAACTAATCTACGGCAACGTGCATTGAACCTTGCAAAAAAAAAATTTAAAGACAACGGACCGCGAACGTTGTAAAAGGATGTATTAGCAACATTCATTAAAAAACGATGTTAAAACTCAATTTTGTCAATCAGTAGCAACATACACTTGCTGAACGTTACCATAGACCCCTTTTAGTAACATGTAATTGATGAATGTTGCCTTTTGCATGTTGCAAAAGGTCTTTTTTCTTGTAGTGTATGTTACTTTTATTTCTTCGTGTTTCATTTTCATAATTTGCTAGTACTATAAAATAAAAAGAAAATCTTGGTAAACTATTATGAGCATGAATCTTGCAAAGTAATTTTTCTTACCGAAGTGTTTCACAGCCCAGTTAGAACCTGCGAACATTTTCTTCCACCTTTTTATATATTTATTTTAACAAAAGCTCATCCTCCGTGTGGCAACAAATTTATATATGATTTATAAATTCAACTAAAATCAAATATTAGTTTCAATCACACATTTATAAGTCAATTATTATCAACATATTTTGTGGGAGTCATTGATATTCGTCTTTACAAATTAATTTATAAATTTGCCAATCGAAAGTATATTCTTCTACGTAAATAACCCATTTCTACTAGTTGTGCCCTCCATTGGATCTTGAGTATATTGCGCCAAAAGGATTAGCTAAGGCGCAATTTTATTTTTTTTCCTTCTACTTTTTAAATAAAAATAAAAATCGCATATATTATTGCAATAAACATATAAAACATAATACATGCCTATGAAGGCTAGGAAACCATGGAGATCAATAATATGTGGTCATGATTCGTTAATACCTTTGCTTATTTTTCTGCTCATTTTTCTTAATTTTTTTCCTTCTTGTAATTGGATTGTACTTCTGCATGTTAAGTAATTAACACCAAAACATGCAGACACAAGGATGTGCACTTGTGCCTGAGAAACTTGTAATATAATAAATATATAGAAAGAGAGATTATGTATAAGAAATTTATTTAGATAATTGCCTATAAAACGGGTCCCAAATTATACATCAAACGGAACATGCTACTAATAGAAATACACTATCATACAAGCGATGACATATCTATCATACATCAAACAGAATACATCAAACATGCTACTAATAGAAATACGATATCAGACAAGCGATGATAAATTACTTATACACGTGCCATGCATGTTCATTTATTTGTTCTATGGTCTTGTTTGCAAAAGATCAATGACCTATACCAGGACTGGGTCCGGATTCTGTGTGTTTAAAATCGTCAATCTTTCCTTGAACGTTTTCCTTTCTGGATGGAAAAGAGTGACCCGTTCTAGGACTGTTTCCTGGTTCTGTGGGTACATTCTCTGCATCTGAACTGTCGATTTCGTGTTTTTCATTCGTTGGTGGGGGGATGCGCTTTTGTCCTAGAACATGAGGGGAAGCTTTGGTAGGAAGAGAAGCCGGAAAATCATGTTTTTCTTGTTTATTGAGCAGTTTAAACTGCCTTGCCTTGGTGAGGGGAATTGGAAGGCAGGAAAAACCTGCAAGAAGGATCAGCAATATCGAGATGCTTTGAATATAGGCCATGAAATTAGCAAATGTAATGCTTTGCTGCTTTAATTTGTGTGTGTGTTTAGGAGAGAGAGGTTTGTTGTTTTGGAGCTGAATGTTTCGATTGCAGAAGTTAGGTATTTATAGCATTTGGGTATCACATCATGTAAAGCTAACCATTGAAAGTGCATATCATTAAAGTCTGATGAAAATAAAAAAATATCCGTAGTGTTAAACTATATTGGATGGTTCTGTTTTTATCTCCTTTTTTTTTTTTTTTGAATATCAGA